GCAGCGCCCGGCCAGCCGGCCCCGGCCCTACGAGCGGCCTCCTGACTGGCCACTCGGCCCCGCCAATCCCGGCGCTGGGGCCGGCGCTCGGGGGCTCCATATTGGCTGCTCGCACTCACCGTGCCTCGCTCCCCCGGTTCGGGTCCCGCTCTGATTGGCTCCGCCACCGGCCCCCGAAACCCAATCAGCGCCTCCACTCAGCCGCCGCGCAAAATGGCGCCCAACCCTGAACAAAGAGAGGGGCCGGGCCCCCCCAACCGCGCACGCGCCGAGCCAGTCGCCCGCCGCGGCTCTGAGGGCCACGCCTCCCGAACCCCGGCACCTGCGCATGCGCCGCGTTAGAGGGGGAGGCGAGGAAGAGGGGGAGGTGCGTGGACTTCCGGGAGGGGGGGAACTGGTGGGAGTGCGCATGCGCGGTGCGGTCCCCGTCTGCTTTTTCTCGCTGCTGCGCGTGCGCAGGCTGACAGCTGGGTCTCCGCCCTCCTCTGCCGAAAGTTCTGGGCGGCCACCATAGAGATGGCGGTCCGCCGAGCTGCCTAGAGAAGCAGCGGCGGCCATTTCATTTGGGAGTGGGCCGTACCAATGGGGTGCTGGCGTGACCATGTAACCCTGCCGCTGACGCACCGGGGTGGGCGGGGCCGGTGGCTATGAGGCTTCCCCTCCCCCACCCACTGCCCCGCGGTCCTCGGCGCTGAGGAGACCGTGGACGCAGCCATGACCAGCGCCCCTGCGGCGGGCGAGGCGGAGCGAGTGCGTTCCCCGGGGCGGGGGCTGAGCGGAGCCAACGGGCCTCAGGCCCAGGAGCCCCCCCTTCCCCAAGATCGTGTTTCCCCCCTAGGATTGACACCCCCCAGGACCGGGCCCACCCTGGATCGGGCCCCCCCCTCCAGAACTGATACCCCCAGGATCGGGCCCCCCTGCGCTGTGGTGGGGTGACGCTGTGCAGCCCTGTTCGGCCTCTCACGGAGCTGGGAATTGAGCTGCCCCGTTCCCCCAAATGTTGGGAGCCTCCCAGGCAGGGTGGGGGGTCAAGCTACCTCCTTTCCCCGTGACATGATGGAGCGTGGAATTGAGGTGTCCTGAGCCTGACCTCTGGGGCGAGATGCTCGCCTCGAAACAGGCCGCTGCTTGGTTGCAGTGGGCAACCAGCTCCTCCCGGTCTGGAAATGCCGGCAGAGCAGGGCTGCCCTTGTTGGCTTCCCCCAAAGAGCTTCAGCAGTGCAATTTTCCTTAATTGGAGAGGTTTGTTTCCCTACAACACGCGGATTAGATGTCCTGTGGGCCCCTGACCTGCCAGAAAGGGTTTGAAGATACGGATGCTAAGATGTAACGGCTCTTCACTTGTTAATATGCGATCGGTTCCCCAACCCAAGTGCCATGTCCGCTCTCCTATTCTGGCTTGTTTTCTTCTAGGCTTTTCTTTTCTTCCTGAAAAGCTAGCCAAAAATGTCTTCATTCAGCTTGTATTTGCATTTGCTGTTTTTCAGATCAAGTACGCAAAGGGGGATCTCTTTTCATGCCCCAGCACGGACTCGTTGGCTCACTGTATCAGCGAGGATTGTCGCATGGGGGCCGGCATAGCCGTGCTGTTTAAGAAAAAGTTTGGTGGCGTAGAAGAGCTCTTGGATCAGCGTGAGTGATGTTTTTGGGAAGGGTTGGTCACAGTGAGTGTATGAATAGTGTCGTTCTCCAGCACTAATCCCTACCTATGCAAAGTAGTTGTGCAACATCAAACATAGCAGTAACTAAACACTGGCTACATGGGATCTTCATACATTTTCTTTGACCTATTTGGGGCAGTGATTTAGCTCATCTGTTTTTGAATACAGCGCCTAGTACAATAAACTGGATCACAAACAGGGATTATGGTATAAATGATGATAAAGTTGAGGCCTTCATTTTTTAATTTTTTTTTTAATGATGGTATTGGGGTTTTTTCACAGGCGTAACCTTAGCAGTTCAAAGGCAAAAGGTGTTTTTGCATTTGTTTTCCTGGTAAAGGGGCAAACAATACAAAGGGAAAAAGAGGGAAGCAATCTTCAAGTACATTCTGAATGTGAATGTATCTATCAGGATAGAGTTCAGAGCTCATTGATTTGGACAAAGGGGAATACTTACTACAGCTCTTATTAACTCAGAGATAGTTAACCACCAGGCTGGGCCATCCTGAGAGCACCACCTCTTTTAAAAAAAAAAAAAAAAAAAAATTAAAAAATCCTCTCCTTCCCACACCCCCAACAAAAACAAACCTGAGAACAGCAACAGAAAAAGATAGCAACTCCAGGATTAGTCTCTCGTGCTTTGTGACTCCTAGTTGTGTGACTTTGGGGCACAGAGGTCTGATTAGATGGAATGACTTGCAGGATCAGGGCCTGAATTACATCTTCAGAAGAATGATATTCTCTGTTCTTTTGTATGATACATTCCCAATCCCTTGGGTGCAGATTGTCCCAGCCATTGCCTCTAGGTATATGCTGCAAAAATAGGAAATTTTTGCATTTTAGTGGGAGGTGATGGAGACGTGCATCTTCAGGTTTAGTCCTACAAACATGGCCATGCTTACGTTGAAGCACCTGCTGCCTTCAACAGGAGTATTGCTGCATGCAAGTGTTTGCAGGATTGGATTTAGATGGCAACTGCATCCACACAAGATTTTTTTAGTCTCTTACGATTTTTCTTCCCTTCCCCCTCCCCCAAAAGCTAACAGATTTTATGCTATATCTGCATTTTTACTCAGTTGTCAGAGTTAAGGATCATATCAAGCTGAAAGTAATCAGTTTAAAAATTTTAGCAGAGATTTCAGACACTACTGGTTTTCTAACTCCGTTTGTCAATTTTTGTGTGGTTTGTTTGTTTTTATCTAGCCACTCAAAATAAAATCCACATAACAGGAGAATCTGAGTATTCATGGGAAATGGTAAAATTGAGTAAATATGCAGAGAAAAGTAAAAACACTTCCTCAGTTTATTTTTACCAATAGCTTGTTTTTAAAAAAATTATTTACAAATTAAGAATGTATTACTAGGTTCACCAGTTTCAAGTTGTAACATTTTAATCACAATAAATTCCAGTGCTTGCTTCTGTTGTTATTTGTCTTAGAAAAGAAGTCTGGGGAGGTAGCAGTTCTGAAGAGAGATGACCGATATATTTACTACTTGGTAAGAAAGGAATGCAGGTCAGGGGCTTGGTCATTGCTAAACCATGCAATTTGCACTAACTTAAGCTGCCAAAGCGAATGTGTGTAATAAACTAGTCTCAGTGCCTTTGGCTTCCTTCTTGGGAGTCTTGCCAAAGTTTAACAAATGATCTCATTTTCTCTTTGGTCAGAGCTGAGGTGGGCAGGAAGGGGATGTTTGTGTTGCTGCCTTTTTTATTTTTTGGCCTTTTCTATGGTCTCTGAAATTTTTGATCTGATAGCTTTGATAAACTTCTTTATAATAATAATAAATAATAATAATAAGGATACATATATATGCCTGCAGTTAGAATATACTTGAACAAATTTTGAACAAACTGAAAAATATCCAAGTCCCAGGGCAAGGCTTTACCACCCTGTTTCACAGAGAGCATAAGTCTCCTTGAGTCATGTCATGCTTTCGAGATGATAGCCAGGTTCCTGGCTTTTAAGACTGTGCTGAATAAGCCTCCCTAATGTGAAGACTCTGTTTTTTCCATGTGTTGGTTACATTATTGTTTTTGCTTTCAATAATTTGTTCTAAAACACAAGCTGTATGCTTGTCCAAGGAAGTTGAACGTAATATTTGTATTCACATGTGAGCCAGATGAGCAAAATCCTAATGCTTGATAATGGGAAAGATTGCATTGCATTTTGAAATAGGAAAATTCTCAAAAGCATTTAACTTTTACTAGGCCTTTATAAATGCTGTTTTTAGAGTCCTGACATGTTTTGTCTTGTGATCAGTAATTACATGTATAGTTAAATATCTAAATGACAGTGTATGCCCACATTGCAATGGAATGATTAGTTTGATCTGAGTTGCTATATATGTTAGTGAGCAGTGGTTGGTCAGCACTGGTTGGTTGTGGTTTAGATTTTAGTGACGTAAGCATATTTTTCAAAAAGCAAATTACTTATGTGATTGTTGCTAACGCGCAACGACCTTTAATTTCTATGCAGATTACAAAGAAGAAGGTCTCCCATAAACCAACCTATGAGAATATGCGAAAGAGTTTAGACGCCATGAAGACTCATTGTTTGAACAATGGGGTTACTGATATTTCTATGCCTAGGTAAGAGATTAAGATACTGAAAAGTAAATGTTTTATTGTCCCTTGTGCAGAATGGACGTTCAGGACATGCCTATTCACCATGATATAAAAGCTTAATGATTGCTGTAGTACAATTGCTTTGTTCTGTTAAGGTTGTTCAGTTGAACTGTGTGACCCCAAATAAATTGAGTTCATTGGTCAGCAAAACAGACAGGAGTCTCCTTTTTTACCTGCATACTTTAATTATTAGTGAGGTAGCTAATACCACTCATCACAGATGCCTGAAATCTCCAGAATATTGCATGTTTCTGTGTAAGGGGGCGTGGGGGTTCTCCACATTAC